AAAAGGGTTATGAATTTATTTATAAATTCTTGCGTAACGACCGGATCTGGGGTTTAATTCAATTTTTGTTTTTTAAAGCAGTGGTTTCAAAAAGGTGTTCCATGGAACCCTAGGGTTCCGGGAACAGGTCAGGTGGGTTTCATAAGTAAAGATTTCTTTTCTTTTTTTGACAGTATTGACTTATGATAACTGTAAGATGTTTATAATTAACAAATAATTTATTCATTTAATATTTCGGTTATTTTTATGAAATTATTTAAACTAAACGCCAATGGAAAAAGACAGCAAAACTTAAAAAAAAAACAACGAGAGTATATTGAATTAATTATGAAAAGGATGCGCATTTACAAATACTTGCATCAGTATTTCTCATCAAACTTCTAAATTCACAATCAAATAACCAAATTCAAGAATCAAGAATTATTTTTATCTGATAACCATTCATCCTGTTTAAAACAATTCGTTTTGAAAAACCATAATTCAGCTTACTTTATTTAATTTCAATTTATGCATCAGTCAAAAACTTTTAGATTTGAAGCCCCTGCGGACCTGTGAATTCAAATGCTTAACATAAAACCTTATTTTAAGATTGTTATGATGAAACAAAGAAGGAATTTCATTCAGCGCATTAAATGTTTTTAAATTAATTATTAGTTTTTATTTATTGATTCATTTAATTATTTGATTTGCATATTCTTTGCTGTTATCAAACTTTTTTTTAAAGTTGGGGGTTCCATGATACGAAGCTCGATCGTTTAGGATTTCATAGCCGAAAACAATTGGGAACAGTGGATTCTAAAGATGTTTGTTTGTAGTGTATCTACCACTACAAAAATATAATTCCAATTTGCTAGTATATAAAGCATGTCAACTCGATTCTATGTTGGGATACCTTTTCATAGATGAAGGTTGACATTGTCGGCAACTACATTCCCCACATTGATGACCCGGACGTGATATGAACACGTCTACTTTGGCAGAAACACCGACTATGATTTGGACACGACTACTTCGATGGATGGTCCACATTGAACAGTTGACTTGCTACTTATGACTGCGACATTGTCCTCCTCACCCTGTTGCTTCTTAGTCTCGATCACACACAACGTACAACGTATACACTCGACTGCTAAGGGCAACACAGGAGCGACCACGTTCATGAACTTAATACAGCTCTCACGATCAGCGCTGAAAAAATAGGTGATCTTAATACAGCTCTCCCGACTTCTCACAAAATAGCAATGAATTAACTAGTGGTATCCGTTCATCGAATTCCATCACAGATATGATTCTGGTAGGGGAGTACTGTAGTGTATCTACCACAACAAAAATTATAATTCCAATTCACTAGTATATAAAACATGAGGTATCTTTTCATAGATGAAGGTTAACATTGTCGATAACTACTCATTATCCCCACATTGTTCTGTTTTTTTTTTATGAATATATTTAAGGTTTTTTACCTTACGTATCTAAATGTGAAATTAATTATTCTATTTAGTAATAATATTAAAAATGGTCAGGTATCTATATTACAGATTTATTTAATTCTATACGATTTAGTTGATAAATCGGTTTTACTGTAAATATTTTTGATCAACTAAAAAAATTTTACAAATAAATTTCTGTATAATGTTTAATCAAATGTAACTTAATAGTTTGAGTAGAAAGAGATAAACCATATTTCAAGATTTAAATGTGTTTCAATCGCTAAAGTGAATGAAATTTAATTAAATAAAATTAAATTTAATTAAATTAATAACACTTCTTTCTCTAAGAGTATAGATAATTTAAATGGGAAAAATGAATTTAAATTCCCTTTGCATTATTTATAAAATATATTTTTAAGTTCATAATTGCTGAATTTCAAAACCAAACTATATCTTTCGTTCAAATTTAATCTCGTTTGCCCATTTTTTTGGTAATAATACTTATGTTTTATGTTCACTTTGTTTTCAATCTTTTAGTTAAAAGTTGTGATTGATGATATTCATCATCATTTGGCCAAAGTTTTACGTCAAAATGCTCTCACATGGCTTGGAGATGAAATGGAATTTGAAGAAGAAGCCTTAGAGAGGAGGAAAAGAAGTGTAAGCTACCTTTGTAAATTCGAGAACGTTTTAAATTTCAATGTCATTTAACGTATCCTTACTTATAAGTGTCAACCTATTTTTAGACAGAGAATGAAAACTACAAAACTGATTTTAATTTTACCCTGACGGAGGGGGAACTGGAAACCATGGAAGTTGGAAAAAGACTTAATTACAGGTTAGAAATCCAAATCCCGAAGACAGATTCCATGGATCTCACAGTGGAGTTTTTCACAAAAGAAATCGGTAATGGAAATTACACTCCTGTATTGGCCCTCTTCAATGTCGATGTGGAAAAGAAACCAGCAGGTCTGACATACTCCAAAGGAGACCAGCCACATATCGAAATGTTGCTCAGCGACGAAATCATGACTGCCGTAAGTAGTAATATTCGTATAACATACACAAGGTGTTCTGTAATTACAACCCTTAATATATATTTCAGAACGTTTGTCAAATAAAAGTAAGAAATAAAATTATGCACATTAGGGGTTTCAAACTAATATTTAAGAGGAAAAACAAATGACGGCCAATCATTATTGAGGAAAGCGGAATAGAGAGGTCATAGTTGACTTAGTTCACTCATCTGCCTACTGAAAATTTATCAATGTTCAATCAGTTACTAGTAACTACCAACAGGAATTCGTTTCTATTGGAATAGTGATAAGTGTCCAATAGGAATAGTGTAAACTGGTTGCCATTAAAGACTATGGTATTACTGCAATGGATTGAATTATACTAGTGGTAATGGATTAATTATACTAGTCAAGTGATATTGTTCAGCCTCTGGTGAGGACGTCTCGATTAAAAACAGAGTTCAGTTTTATTGCGGGATGAAACTTGAAGGTGTTCCTAATCTTTTTTCAATGCTTTCAGTTACCTTCGAAAATCAAACAAATTTTGATGGTCTTAATTTTGTCATTTTGGTTAAGCATTCATTATGTTACAATAACTTTTTTTAACCCTCATTTGAATATTAATTTGGAGGCCCAATGGTTCATTGGTTAAAACTCGGGGCAAATGGGGGATTGTAGTCTAGCCAGCTTCATATCGATGGGTACAAGGTAGTCTGGAGATTAAAAGCTCCTTGGCTGATAACCGGCTATTACTGGAGTGTTTTATTTCCTTATGTTTTTTTTCTGAAAAAAATTCTAAAAAAATGTACTAATGGGTGGGTATACGTAAGGAAGCAATTAGTGCCTGCTAGAGAGGAGTTCGAACTCACTTTTGAAGATACGAGCCTGAACAATCCCGAAGAATTTTAATCCGAGCCCACTCGAGCTCGAGATTCATATGATTACTTAGAGCCCAAGTCCGCCCTCGCCCGAGATATACGTTGGATAATTTCTTCTGTCTTTAGTATGAGGATAACTTATCTTTAAAAATATACTCCAACAAATGAAAATTGCATAATTATGGATTAATAATAAGAAAAATGCACGTGAAAAAGGCAAAGAAATGTTCTTTGTTACATATATACAAAAAGCTCGCTATTTATTATGAGATAATTGGCTTACTCATTACTTGTAGTCAGGGCTCCGAGCTCTCCCGAAAACTTTCTGTTGTTGTTGTTGTTTCTAATCCCCAAGTGGTCCATCCTAATTACACCAATTCCATAAGTCCAAAAAATGTCCAGAAAGTCAAAAAACAGATGAGGTTAATTTCTAGCACCCTGCCCTTTTTTCAGTCTATTTATTTTTCCCTTAGAAGATAGAGACTGTAGTATACTTGTCGAACCTGGCCCTCTGCTTAAAACAGGAACGCGCCTCTGATTAACCTGCGCGACAGGCGATGCAGTATGAGAACTGGATTGAACTAGACTCATGGTACAGGGGAAAGTGTTACAGCTTCTGTTGGCCGAAAGTGACCTGGAGCACCAAAGGTAGAAGACTGATTTAGCTCCATAGTTTCACCTGCTAGCATTAGCTGGGCATAATGGAATGGCCTTCATGCCTAGGGTGGCCCTACCAGGAGCTAAGCTCCCGACGTACTTCGCCCATTCCGCCCAGTGGCAATCCCTCGCCACGGTGAGGCAGCTAGCAGGATTTGAAGGGGGATTGAAAACTTTCTTCAATAAATGAGCCCGAGCTCAAGTCGAGCCCATCTCATCTCTAGATCCGCTACGCGTTTTTAAAGGGATGTTTTTAAAAAAGGATCACCAACTTGTTAGAGTTTTTTTTTCTTTGGGCAAAATTAATGTTTATCTTTATTGAGAGCATGATCAAGCGTTCAATTTATAATTATGCTTTTTTATTTTCCTATTATGCTCGAAAATACTCATTAACGTACTATCATACGGCTATTACTGAGTGTTTTATTTTCGTATGTTTTTTTCTGAAAAAGGTTCTAAAAATTTTTACTAATGGATGTGTATACTTAAGGAACCAATTAGTGCCTGCTAGAGATGAGTTCGAACTCACTTTTGAAAATACGAGTCCGCCCAAGCCCCAAGAATTTTAATCCGAGCCCACTCGAGCTCGAGATTCACACGATTACTTAGAGCCCAAGTCCGCCCTTGCCCGAGGTATACGTTGGATAATTTCTTCTGTCTTTA